CCCCCCCCGGCAGTGCGTCGATATTGGCAGCAGCCAACCCCAAGTACGGCCGATACGACCTGCGCAAGTCCGCCATGGTCAACATGGACCTGCCGGCGGCACTCCTATCGCGGTGCGTATGGACACACACACAAAAACACCCACACACACTCCCACGGTTTCAAGGGGTTGCATATTGTGGCTTGTGTGTGTGTGTGTGTCTGTCTGTGTGTCAGTTTCGATTTGCAGTTCCTCATCCTGGACGAGCAGGACGTCGACCGCGACCGCCAGCTCGCCAGACACGTATGCAAGTGTCCACACACCCACACTCCAGACCCCCGCCCCCACCCACACACCCACATGTGCATCTCTCTCCCTCTTCCTCTCCCTCTCCCTCTCTCTCTGTGTGTGTGTCAGGTGTTGACGGTTCACCAGTCGGGGAGGCCGCCCGCCGCCCATTCGGGCGACCACTACTCGGCCGCCATCATCCGTAGCATGGTCGCATTCGCCAAGAACAAGGAACCCAAAATGGACAGGTGGGTCGGGTGGGTGGCCAACACTCGTGTCCGATTCTCATGGGTGTTTCCGATGCTTGTGTGGGTGTGTGTCAGTGATTTGATAGATTCGGTGGTTAGCAAGTACGTTGAGCTGCGCTCCCGGGAGAGGGGCATGGTACGCCCAGAGAGCCAGCCACACACCCTCACACACCCACACACCCGACACACAAGGAGAGAGAGTTTTGCCAAGCGTATGTGTGCATCCCTTTCTCTCTCTTCTCTGTGCCAGCGTCCCGACCAGTGCACCAACTACACCACACCCCGCACCCTCCTGGCCATCATGAGACTCTCACAGGCACACACCCCACCCCCACCCCTCCCCCTCCCCCTCCCCCTCCCCCGACCGCCCCTGTCAGCACACCAACCTCTCTCTGTCTCCCTGTCTGTCTGTTGTCGTCAGGCCATCGCCCGTCTGCGCTTCTCCGACCGCATCACTGAGGCGGATTTCGACGAGGCGTTGCGGCTCATGACGGCTTCCAAGCAGTCAGTAATGCGGCCGAGGGGAGAGGACGACGACTACCTGGCACCACCGGTGAGTGAGAGTGGGGCGGTGTGGGTGGGGTGGACACACACATGGGCTGGCTGGTTGTCTGTGTGTGTGTCAGGACTTGAACGATACCAAGACGATCATCCTGGGCATCATCGTGTATGTGAACACACAAACACACACACAAGGGGGGAGAACAAATTGGGGGAGAAGGGCGGGCGGCTCTTCCCGTCTTCCCTTCATGTGTGTGTGTGCGTGTGCGTTGCGTTGACTGCAGTGACATGCACCGGAAGTTGAAGCGTCAGAACCCGGCCGGCAACCATGGCATCAAGAAGGAGGACATCAAAACCAAAATAATCGCGCAGGTACGAACCAACACATACACACACACACACACTGGACGGAAGCATGGAGGCAGGGAGGGAGGGAGGGAGGGAGGACAAAGCCTCTCCACGCCCCTCTCTCTCTCTCTCTCTCTCTGTGCCCCTCCATGGTGCAGAACTACAGCGAGGAGGACATGAACGAGTGCATCCGGCTCTACACCGCACTGAAAGTGCTGCTCCTGGGGGGCGAGGACGGCGACATCGTGTACGTCGTCAACGAAAGGGGCTACGAGCAGGCAACCCAAGGCACAGAGTAGTGACACACACACACACACACACATGGACACACCCGAGGGAGGCGGGGGCAGGTCTAGACAAAGGGAGGGAGGGAGGGAGGGAGGGAGGGAAGAAGGGAGGGAGTTGCAGAGGGCTGAGTTGCTGGTCTGTCTGGTGGCTGGTTGATGGGTGTCCGTCGCAATGTGCGTTGTGCGTGTCTGCAGTGGCTGGTTGCCGGTGTGTGTGTGGGTGAAATGAGTGGCTGCCGAATTCGTTCAGACCACATGTGGTTGATTGACCGTCTGTCTGTTGACGATTGCCCGAGATCTGTGTGTGTGTGACGACTCACAGCCCCAGTGCAGAGTTTTACGCACCCTAGCTTACCCCCTCAAATGCTTCAGCTTGGCCCCTACATCAGAGCTCTCCAGCCGTGCGGCATGTCGCTGTTCAAGACCCGCAGCTTCGCTGACGGGCATCAGGTGGTGGTGTGGGGCAACAGCCGGGGAGGCACGGCCTTCGACGACCGGGCGGAGCTCGTGCGGCGGTTTCCAGCGCGAGAGGCCGATGAGTACCGGATGTGCGCTATCGAATGCATCCTCGAGGGACGGGCGCTTGCACAGGTGCGGAAAATGGCATCATATGCCATTGCCTGCGCAGAGAGAGAGATGGGTGTCGAGAGATGTGTTGGTCTTTCAGGTGTCCGCGACGTACATCTCGATGGTGGACGGTCAGGACGTCACAATCACACACGTAACTGCCCGCCACCGAGTGGGCTGGTCTGGTCTGGCTCTTCCTCATCCCTCTGTCTGTCTGCCTGACTGCCTGTGGCGTGGCGTCACGCAGGGCATCCACACTGCGGCATCTCAGCTCAGGTGCGAGCCGCCCCTCACCTTCGCCTTCGGCCTCAACGAATGGATCACCGAGGCCGTCTGCGAACCACACGGCTACGCCAACTGCGTCAACCGAGTCGCCATCGGCACCAACAAGAGCCGTGTCGGCAACCAAGGCCAGCAGCGGCGCATGACGTTCCGCTGCCGACATGGCAACGACAACCACCGGCTGTATGGCGAGTGGCAGCCGCATCCGCATGGCCCGATGTTTGAGTGTGAGGTCACTGCCGGTGGGCTGGACGGAGTGGTGCCGTGGTTCCTCGTCGGGCGGGCTGGGCAGCTCATAGAGTGAGTCACTGAGTGATGGACTATCGGTTGGGTATGGTATGACATTCATTGGTTGGTTGTGTGTTGGCTTGTGTGATGTGCAAGCAGTCAGTTGGGGTTCTACTGCGACAAAAAGCCGATAGGTGCCGCGGGGGGGGGAGGGGATGGGAGGCGAGGCATGGCGAGAACAGCATGACGCCCGTCTGCACATCTCTCTCACTCTCTCTCTCTGTGTGTGTTTGTGGTCGTTCAGAGCGCTTGACCAAGATGTTCACGCCAGCGGACTTCGCGCGGCTCCCCCAGCGTGTGCAGCGACAGGTGCGCCTCCTCTGACTGACAGACAGATGCCTACCTAATGCATCTGTCATCGCATGTCAAGTATCTCCGACTCCTCACCTGTGAATGTCTGTGTATGCTGTGTGCAGGTCGTGTCGTTGTACTCCATCTGCCTCCCGGCCAACGGCTCCAAGCACGACTTCCCCTCCTTCGCGCTGCCGATCGTGACGGGGTACGCCTTCCCACACCTCACGGCGCCCCACGAGCCGCCCGAGCCGGTCATCCCACCCGCACGCAACCCCAACACACCGCCCCCACCGGCAGCGGCAGCGGGTCTCGGCAACTATCCCCCCTTTTTTTATGACGAGGGGGAAGACGATGACGACGAGGAGGAGGAGGAGGAGGAGGAGGAGGACGACTGGGAGGACGACATGGACATCGAATAGTGGATGGTGGAGGGAAGGTGGGGGTGTGAAGGTCGGTCGTTGTAGGTCCCTTGATTGGATTCGTTGGGGGGGTCGGTGGGCGGCGATGAAGGGGTGAATTAGGTGGTTGGCTGGCTGGCTGGTTGGTTGGTTGCTTCTTGCTGGTCGTTTGTGTGTGGATCGGTTGCGAGCAGGCGTCTGAGGTGGAGGTGGGATGGATGGATGGATTGGGTGGCTGTGGGCTGTGCATAAGGGGGTATGACGCGTGGATGGATGGATGGATAGATAGGCGTGCCTGACACTCGCATGCAGACGTGCGCGTGCATGCCATGCAATCAACAACAGTGCAATGCATTTCACTGAGTCAGCAAAACCGACAGGATGTATCGACCCGCACAGATGCACAGACAGATGGCGACACACGCACCACGTGACACACAAATGCATCAATCACCCCCCCCC